TTCAGTTTAAGTTTATAAATTTAAAGTTCAGTTCAGGTTCAAGTTCAAAGATCTGCAAAATTTAAAGTTCAGTTCAGATTTAATTGAACTTGAACCTGAACCTAAATTGAACTGAACTGAACTTTGGAACATTAGTTTTAGGTTATGTATATAGAAATATATATATAGTTAATATTGGACTGATACTATAAAAGTAATCTGTTAAACATAAATAAAAATATTGACCAAAAGGGTCATCTTAATACTAAAAAAAAAAATTTTTGAACTATTATATTGTTACATTACTAGCTTATTTTTTTTTGTTCCTAAGGCAATTCTGTTTGCTTTATTTATGAGAAGAAAACCTCACTAGTATGAGGTACATACCAGTTACAGAATCTATTGTTCTCAAACCTATTAGCTAAACTACCCAAACTAGCCACGCAGTTGCTGAAGCTTCCACTTGCAGTCAGGGCAAACCATTAAACTGCTTATACTTTATGCCCAAGTTGACCTGCTTGAGCAAACCCTTGGCCTCCTCCAGAGGTCCGAAACTTGCTTCAGACTTTTTTCTCCAAAATCCTCGACTGGCGGTTTGCGAGCCTTGTCAAGATTACCACTCTACAATAGAATACCACTAATCTGATAACACTTTCTTGTAGGAAAGAAAAAAAGAAAAAAAAAATTTTAAACAAAAACAAAAAAAAAAAGAGGGAAAACAAAAACAACGGGCGATCCTAAATTTACTAATTCATTCTCTAAATCGGTCAACTATATAAACAATTCGTTTTATTAAATATTAAAAAAACTTTGTAAATTTCATAAAAAATTTAAAACATACTTCATTAAAGAGTTCTTCTAATTTAAAATTGTTTTGAAATTTCTCGTCAGTTTTTGGGTCGGCATACGATCTCGGTACTAGCAGTGAATTTTGATAATGTGTAAAGATAATGTGAAAATTATGCATGAAGTTATTGGTAAACTTTGGACATGAAATGTTACCTTCTTTTAACCATTTCCGTAAAATAGGAAATAATGCTGATTCCTTCTCATTAGAAATGTTCACTTTATGCCAAACTGCCATATGTTCTGCAATAAGCAAGCATATATGCTGATTGCTCATGTCTGGTACGGAAAGTGCACGACCAGGAGTATAACCATATACAATTCCGTTGTTAAATCGGCAATAAACCTGACGTACTAATCCACGCATAGATAAAGATACTATATTCTATATAGTCGTTGAAAAAATAAATTATAATGTAT